GATGTGTTATTCGGACGCACCCTATATACCGGTGGGAGGACGTTAGTTAGCGAACTTGAAAACACTGCCAGCCACAGTACATATATAATACGAATTTGAACGATGATACTTCCCATCCCCTCCCCCCGTTCGAGGAGCAACAATTAGCCTAATCGAAAAAATGTACTCGTGATCGCACGGGGATCTATCGTCCGCTCTGTGTTCCATCGATCAGGGGATGGAAACGGTAAACGGGGATTATCGTTTCGATCGCACGCAGGATTCCGCGTTTGCTCGTCGATCCTCGCGAGGGTCGAGACAGGATCGTTCGTTTTAAGGGGATGATCGTGATCCAGCGACGGATCGTGCCGGACGTTACCAATTATAGAAAAATATACACGATTAAGCATGTATGAGAACTGTCGAAATCGCTGATAATAGAGAAATATACAAGTTACCGAGTACGAAAGTTCTCGTTTCGTTTCTTCCTTGTTCATACTTTATTTTCCTGTCTTCGCGACGAACTTCGTAATGATCCTTTGGAAAATTACTCGTTATTGATCGGCAGTCTTTTATGAATAGAATGTACGAGAATAAATGATAAATGTCTTGAAATTTATTCGAAGACAACAGGATGTAAATCAGTCTCGTCAATTGTCTTTTCTGAACGAATGTATTCAGTTTATCTTCTTTCATCAGAGTTGTTTTTACTGTACTACACTTCTGTTTTGCTTCCATTTAACAAACTTTCGAATTTCCATCTTCCAGTTATCTAGGATATTATCTACATCACTTTTCTGAAAGAGAAGTAACGTTCATAAAGGATTCTTACCAGTTATTTCGTGAGGACGTTGGAAAAATTTGTAAACGTGATCATCCTTACATCAAATACGTTTAATACTGCCTTATTTTTCCGATGTATCAAAATGTGTGTTCCATTCGTATTACATTTTTCCCTAGAACTAATGTTTCACAATAAAAAATAAATGCGATGTAAATTGTGAAAAAATTGATTCCACGGATTGAACTATTAAACGACACAGTGATTTTATTTATCATTCTTTTATTGACGGCGTTAATAAAATTTCCTGAGATCTATTTCTTATATTTGTTCTGTTAGTACCAGAGTCCCTTAATAAATCTAAAAGTTTAACATTGCTTGATGATTTAGTCATTACGGATATGGCAGCTATCGTTTTCTGAATGAAGAAGGTCAGTTCATCTAAAGAGACATTTCTGCTGACGTTCAAAGTTGGCTCCACAGGATTGTATATGTAAATGGGCGAAAGGTCTAATTTAGGTTTAAGTATTCCCTCCAGAATACATATTCCATGAGTACGAAAATCGAAAGTACCGTAGAACTCGAAGAAACCAAGTAGGAGGTCGAGCAAAGTACTATTATTTACTTTCGTATTGATCTGTGTTTGAATAGCTTCAGTCGACAATATTTGACAAAATCGGTGTGAATCTGGAAGAAAAAATAACACATTTCGCCAAACGTGTACCTCGTTTGTAATACTTTGTACTTACCCGACAATCTAAACAGTTTTGTTACAGGAGGTAAAATCTTACACCGCTGTAAATAAAACATTATCAAGAGTGTAAGAGAAAAATTTGTTAGTTTATTGGAGGGCACCTCGACCGTTACAGTTACGGCTGCTGCCCATTTGCGAATAGTAAATATTAATGGCCTGACTCGCTTATCCATCTCTGTAAAGGTGTATAACAATTCGGTCATGTAAAATCCAGACCTGTAATAAATACCATAAACAGAAATTCTATAATACTGCAGTGCGATAATCGTATGATACTTACATGTTGTTGCTACTAAGATCACAGTTCAATTGTGCAAAGCTGTAGATAAATTTAATTATGGGGACACGAGCATTCAGAATGGTTTTTGTATTATTAATACCAGGAACGAAATGATGCATGACAAAGGACATAGACCTTAGAAACTCTTTTTGATGTGTTCTGTCAAAAAGAGAATATGATTTTGAAGTAAATACCAACTCATTCGAAATCTTCATCTGAGAAAAATATTTGTTAAATCAGTTCTTTCAAAGCAGAGAATTCATAGACACGTGTCATATATAAAAATTTAAAAATATGGTCACTTACCATTTGTTGCGGATGATTTTGATTAAAAACACATACTAGATCAAGATCACATCCCATTGTTCCCAAACCGGCTGCAGATGAACCGAATGGTAGAACAGAAATAGTTGGAAATAATTTAGAGAAACAAAGTAACAACTGATGAGCAGTGAAATATCTAAGTCTTATGTCAATGTCTGTAAGTTTCATCACTTTACAAAACATCATCATTTGGTTTGATATCTACAAAATTAAAGTATTTTATATTGTCTATGAACCACATATCTGCATATAATATAGCAGTACATTACAGATTCTATATTTTTTAGACGTGATTTGAGCAACCGTGGTGTAGGATATTGATGGCAATATTTTGGAACAGAATTATCTACAACATGAGGGGTTTTAGTCTTGAACTTCTGAAATTGAAACACTGTTGTCTGTATAGGAACACTATCAGATACATCTGTAGAGACCTTAGCTGCATCTAATATATCATTTATTGCTTGTTGCGATGAATATTCCATAAGTATCATATCTGGCTATAGATAACAACGAATAATACATTGCAATTAATAAATCCGTTTTTAATTTAAAACGCTGATAAACATATGTAAAACTAATTAAACTTAAAGATAAACGTACGTGATACAATTGTGTTGTATAATGCCATATATGTTTAATAGTTCCAAACTGCGAAAAATACTCTCTGCAGAAATCGGCATCATGAAATTTATTCAATTTCACTACAATACTACGCTGTGCTTGGTGTTGTCTAGTTTTAACCAGATCAGCAAAACTGATAAATGTTCTATCTGCCTTTTCCTCTATAAAATGTAATTTGTACATGTTATTTTGGTTCAATCGCTGATATCTACATTAATAACTGTATTACTAATTCAACTACTCGATATAAACAATGCTATATAAATATTTTGAACAAATATAGATTATAATTTTGTAAATAATATCTAACGAAATTAAAGTGACAGAAAAGTCACGAAACAAAAATGGATATATGATATTTTATTCATTACTTTACAGTATATAGTGACGAGAAAAAAACACGGAGGAAAATAAAGTGTACAAAATATTAATAAAGATGGTATACTAGAGGTTATGTTAAATACGATTCAATTCTGTATAAACATACCGTTCTTCGCTTTTGTTGTATACCTCGAAATGTTTAGAGAACATTTGAAATAATTATTATTTAATAATGGACAATAATTTGCAGTGATGCGATATGTAGATCCCATGTTTCACATTTGTTACTCTACTAAGCACGTGGTTTATGTACACCCTGTTGGTAACATAGGTTTCATGGGATTGCCAATAGATGACTCTTACCACGTAAAAAAAATAAATTACCTATACAATTTAAGAACTTAACGTATTAAACAATTTTTCATTAATCATTTAATGTTCTCTATGCTCGACACAGATAAGCATAAAACAAGCAATAAAAAAAAGAACAACATTCCGTTAAAATATTTATCTTTGAACACTTTTAACAGCAAAATTTATTGTAATTGATAAATCTTACGCTTTTCGTATCGGATAATGATTTTATTAATCGCTGTTTACCTTATTGTTTGCAAGATGCAATTTTATATTAATGAAACTCATAATATATAATACTTGTTGCATCTAGCCCAAAATAACTTAAAGAAGCGGTAGCAGAACAAAGGATCTTACTCCCTTTCGAAGACTCTCATCAACTTGGAGAGAACAATGATTGATTATTATTAAAATTCACATTCAACATTTAATTCTATCTGTACACGCAACTTTCTGTTCGTTCGAGTGGACCGAACATTTGAATGAGAAGATTTAAAAATTTCAAATATTCGAATAAGGTTCCAGGATACAAGTGTTTTACTACACGAAAATCGCGAAGGTTCGCTCGATCGTGCACGAAATATTTTACTCGAAGGGAATCGAGAAGAATCGCGAAGTCTACATCCCTCGAGAGGATCGCGGCTCAGCATCTAACCCGGGCGATGACGTAAATACAGCCTGTCCTTCTCCTCTTCCTATTTGCGGCCGTTTCCCTCCTCTCACTTTATTCCTTCTACCCCTTTTTCGCGAGACTCCCAGCGATGGGTTCGAGTCGCGTTGAGAATTCCTAAAATCGTCGAACATTCGATCACTATTCCTTTACGAAACTTCCGATTATCGTTTTCTCATAGTTTCTATAATGCTCGCTCGGAAAATGCATTTTCTATTCGCCCAATTATGTTCTCGACAGTTTCAATTCGCACGCAGATCTACAGTCCAATTGTCATAGTCATTCTAACGAATGCTAATTATTGTTCTTAACACGAGTCCGAGTCTCCTTTACGATCTCTTTCGCGTTATCATTGTTAAATAGAGAAACATCGAGTACAGTATAAGAAAAGAAAAGAGCATGCGAAAAAATGATGAATGAAAATCTTAGACGATTCTAGGACTTTGAGGACAGGGATCGAAATCGTTTCGAGTATTTATTCATCGAAACAGTCGGATCACAATGCCCATCACTATCGAGGGTTCGTGAATTCAGCGCAGAGGAAAAAAAATCTTGCAGTGTCGCGCTCTACCGGTCGATCGTTTAATCACTGCGTAGATCATTGCGGATCTTTGCTCTTTCTTCCGCTGAAGCGTCGATCTTTGTTACTTCCCTCCTGTCCGTATGTCCCTTCTTTTTGTTTGTTCGTAAGAAAAATTCTTCGTTGTCTCACGAAGAGCTGTCTAAATTTATCCAGCGCATTAAAAGAAAAGGACCTCTTCGACGACAGTGAATCTAATTGTTTTCTTAATCTACCGTAACTCACTCTATCTCTTCTATTAAAAATCTTTCTTCAGTAAAGATTTTTTAAAGGACCTGTCATCTCTCTTCCTCTTCTACCTTCGAACCACTCTCTACCTTCTCTAATAAAATATACCTCCCATCTGCCCATATTCATTCATTTTCCAAAGATTCTTAAGAGACTCGCCAACAGGTTTTCCTCACCCTTCCCCCCTTTCACCGCCGGAAAACTCCGAACCCCGTCGAAAGCCCCACAAAATCATCCGCGCACTCCGAAAAACATCCACACGAAGATCCACCGCCGTTCACCCTCATCTTCACCCTTACAAAACTCCGAGTCTCTTTCCTCCTCGAGCCTTTCCTCCTTCCTCCAACAGGAGATTCACGGATCACTCCGCGATTGATCAGAAATTTTCCACCGTCTCCCAAAAAGGATGTTCCTCAAGGTGCCACGAGCCCGGGACAATTTCACTTTCTCCCAAATTTGAGTCGCTTCGTCCTCATCCTCTTTCTTCGCCTCCGTTCCTCTCTTTCCTCAACCTGCCTACCCCCTCTACGGCTTGGTCACCCTCACTCTCTCTCTCTCCTTCTCTCACTCAGCCGGTTCTCTCTCTCTCCTCAGCGTCCCACCGGTTCCCCAGAGCCGTACGAGCCTCGTGGTAGTGCACGGGGGACCGCGAGCGGAACGCAGGACGATTGGCAGCGCAGTCTCGAGTCTCGCGTCGACCGCAACGGTTTTCTTTCCCCGCGGCTGGGCTCCTCTTCATGCTCGACTGCCTCCCACAGGAGCGACGAACCGGCCGCCGGCAGGTGTGCGGTGCAGCGGCGAACGACCGTGAACGAAATTCGAAAGTCAGCCGGCCTGGGAGCCGGGCCAGTGTCCGACGAACGCGTCCCAAGCCGCTGGAAACGAGACGATCCCGGGGGACCACCGGGGTTCGCCGGTTCGCCGCGCGGAACACGAGCATATCCCGGTACGATGAAGGATCCGCCGAGGATCCAGGAATGTTGAGCGTCGTTTAACGGAACGGCTTGACCATTGTCCGCTAACCCGACGGTGGAGGAGGAGGAGGACGGAGAGAGGCTCCTCGAGGTGAACAAAGAGTCTGTTCGCGAAGAGGACAGGACAGAGGGCTCGCAGACTGAAGAGGCACGAACCTCTCCGCGTCGGAGATCCTTCGCTCCAGGATACCCGGACCGGTTTCCAGAATGACCGATCCTCGCTATCCGACCGCGTGATCCCGAGGAACGCGAAGCTCGCAAAGAGAACCGAAAAGGAAAAGGAAGAACAGACGGTCAGGATTGGACGGGCTACTGTTCTCTGGGTTTTTGGGGATGTCGGCCGAGGCGGGCTTCGTGGCCGGCGAGGACGCGCCTTCGACGCAGTCCTCTGTGCTACCGGAAGTGTTGATGTTATGACGAACGAGCGGGGCACGCGAGGCAGATCGAACTAGTGAGAAAACGCGAACACACCGCGCAGGAACGGACGAGAGAATCAGTGTCAAGCGCGCGGCGATCTTCGGTTTCCTTCGGTTCTGGACTATTCTTCCTGTCGGATCTCTTTTGCTTCGGTTTTTACGCCTGCCTTCTACCGCTGTTTCGTCGCGCGCGCCCCGGCGCGCTGATTTTCCACGCGGAGAACGGAGTTTCGTAACGAGCCGCGGCAGGAAAAGCTCGCTGCATTTTTCACGTTGCTCCCGCTGGACCGACCGGGACATGTCTGTCGGGACGGCGAACGCCGAGACAGGTGAGACACACGAACCGGTGTACAAGTCATTTCGGTGGCTTCTTATTTTGTCCGTTTCTTTGCGGACAAGAAAGAGGAGCGCGGTAGAGCCTTTATCGTCTGCGTCCTCGTTGAACCACTTCGTTCGAGTAGTTTGATTTGAATGCGCGGAAAGCTTCGTTGAGACAAGCTGTATCGAGTTTCTGACAAAGTAGGAACATTGGGAATCAGAGATCGATGACACGGATTGCACGATGAAGGTTCTACTGTATTGTCGAATGAAGTTTTTAGACGTTAGAGTGTCTGACGCTTAAATGATCGCGTTTACTGTAGCTTCGGTTCTGAATTGACGATTCTTTCGTTTATATTGGAAAATGGACAATGAGGACGGAAAACAGAAATGGAAGATCTAACGGTCTTTTGAGCGTCAACAGTCTCATGATCTAAAATCTTGCTCCGAAAGGCTTGAACGAAATGATTCGAATCTAAGTAGAAAGTAATTGAAAATATTGTGAGGATACCGCAATCTAGGGTAGAAGTACTATATTTGTGAAAGATGAAACGGTTTATTAAGCTTCCGAGAAGCTCGGCGATTGACGCATCGAAAACGACAATGCTTCCGCTCGATTTGCCGGATCGATTGACTCGATAACCGGTAATAGCGATGGTCGGGGACGTTATCGGAGATATCGGGGGAAAGATACGAGAACCGGGGCCCGTGAAACGTCTCTATGGGTTTTGCGTTTCTAATCGCGGCAACACCAAGATGGCGCAACGCATTCTTCGGGAAGAGAGACTGCGGCGACCACGTTGGCGGACGTTCAAGGGCGCGAAGGCGCCCGCGATCTAGTTCCTAGAGAACCCGACACATCCGATCGCTCGGAAAATAACGATCGCAAATTGGAATTCGCGGGTTACGCGCGTAATTGCTAGCCGTGTGGCTTGCTTTTTAAATGGTTCTCAGGTCTTCAAGGTCGTTTGAAAGCGATCGCGGAACGTTTCTCGGTGTTCCCGTCTCTACCGGTTTCCTTTCGTTTTTCAAAATTGATGCTGTATCCTGCATCGTTTCATGGAAGACTAGTTTTCCACCGGTGAAAGTGATTTCTTGCCGCTAATTGACTATTAATTAAAGGATTTCGAATGGCGCGTTGCGTGTTCCGATATGTTTCGTCGATGATCTCAAGGTCACACCTGGGTATTTCTAATCAACATCACGCGTTCTATGAAGTGTTTCATAGAACAGAAGTGTTCTAACAAGTTTCATTACGACAGGATACTGTAAATTTGATACGCTGGGGTTTCGATGGATTGAATTCAATTTCGGTGTACTGTGCTTCGAGATTGCTATGGTTTCCTTTATCCTCGGTTCGAGCGCTTGGGAGGAAGATAGGAGAATGAGAAATAAGGATCACTCGGTTCAGAATACAAAAGTTGGATCTATAAAGAGTTTTGAGAGCAAAGATTTAGTGATTTGATGCAATGAAAACGAAGAGATATGAAAATATCCCTTTAAAAGGTAGCGTGTGTCTTGAGATTAACTTGCGATTTCGACCTCGTCGAGCCGGACACTGTTGTAGGGGTACGACACGAAAAGATCGAGCATTAGTGTGCACGTAATTATAGGCATGCCCCGAAAAACCCGGTTTTGTGGACGGGACTGGTAACAGCTGCACGACAGAGCGAACGCCGCTGTTTCCTTTCCCGAGACACGCACGGAAAACGTTGTTGTTGGCCAGCCAACGGTTGAATGGATAATGCGAACTTAATAGACGGTTTAATGAAACGTTCGTTATGCAATGGAACCGCGGTGCCCGCGCGAAAACGAGTACAAGGCTTCCATTTGTTCATCCTCGACGTAGGTGGCACAAGACCAAATACGCGAGCCGGTCGCCAAGGATCCTTCTCGCCCACGGGATTCAATCGGTTGTCTCGATTTGTCGGAGGAACGGTCGAAACGGACTTTCAAATGTTTTCCAGCTTTTGTTTTCGATACTCCGCCTACTGGAAGCTTTGGAACTTTACATCTTTTTGAACCTTTGACACTTTGAAGCTTTGAACCCCTGAAAGTTTGATCTTTGAAATGTTTAACTTTTAGAACTTTGAATCTTTGGAACTTTGATAATTTGATAGTTCGAACCTTTGAATCTTTGAAAATTTGATAATTTGATAGTTCGAACCTTTGAAAGTTTGAAAGTTTAAAAGTTTGATAGTTTGATAGTTTGATAGTTTGATAGTTTGATAGTTTGATAGTTTGATAGTTTGATAGTTTGATAGTTTGAAAGTTTGATAGTTTGATAGTTTGATATTATGATAGTTTGATAGTTTGAACCTTTGAAACTTTGAAACTTTGAAACTTTGATAGTCTGAATCATTGAAACCTTGAAACTTTGATAGTTAGAACCTTTGAAACTTTGAAAATTTCGAAACATCGAAAGGATTTCCTAAACAAATGTACGGTTTTCTAATTATTTAGAGTGATTGTTGAACATGTCAATTGATCTCGAGATGTCGTAACGGTGCGAACGCATATATCGATGACTATATCTGTCCTAGGCGGACAGTTTCAGTCGTTGGTGACTTCAACGCGCGACAAGCCATGACGTGGGCACGCTACGTGACGACCATAGGACTCTTCCGATTCCTACGCGTCGCTGACGTAACGTACCGTCGCCAGTCCGGGACATCTATGTCGAAACAGACTGTTGTACACGGTTATTCCAAAAATCTAACTCCATCTAATTCCAACATGCTCTCTCTACAATTATAATTCTACCTTGAGTGAAGAATGTACACCCATTTACTCTTACTACACCTCCTTTTCAATTCGCGTAATCACCCACTGCATTCTATTAACACTAATCACGCCTCTATTCCTAAAATACTTCCATACAGTTCAATCGCCTTAAATCAAACATATTCCCAAATTCTGCAGAACCCACCTCGATCTATATTTATCGCGCTATCAAACGACACTGTTTCCGTGTGCCTAAAGCCAGGTGAAAGGTGTCGAGCGGTACGGCCCTGTCGGTGCCCAGGTGTAGCGGGTAGAGAGGCACGAGCCTGTCTCTCCTCTCCGCCGCGGGAAAAGGTGGAAAGAAGGTGGCCAGAACCTCGCGGGATGTCGATCGACCAGCCACGTAAATCCCGCGATTCGTGTTGTCGCGAGGCTCGCCGCCTATCAACGCGCAAACCGTAGCAAAAGCTTCAACGAATCCCGAAGGGAACGGCCGAAAAAGACGCGAGTCGCGAGTGAAAAATGGCGGCGGTGGTCTCGAAGGGTCAACCACGGTGGTGGTCCAGTGTTCCCGAGGTCGTTCTCGTTCCACTCGGCCTCCGCGGCATGAAAAAGTGAACGTTGTTGCGTTATGTTCGCGTCGCTTTCTCGCGGCAACGCCAAGCAGATTTCAGCAACCGCGAAAAACGTACGGCGTCCCGTCCCTTCGTACAGCCCTGGGCCATGGTGAACACCGTGGATCGTGGATCCACGGGTGATCGATCGGACTTTCTTCCCTCTCCGTGACCCCGCGAACCCGCTTTCCCGTGGAATGTGATTTTTTCGGAGAGCCAACGCGAACGGAGGAGGTTCGCAGAGGGACGTTCGAAGATAGAGGACGGTTCACGATGGTCCGCCGATTAGAAGGGTTCAATGGGTTCTTTAAAATGTTCAGTGGAAGCCAAAAGTAGTAGGCTGATCGTGGAAAGTGATTTTCGAAGGGACTTTGAGACTTTGGTAGTGTTTGTAAATGGAGAAGGATTTTCAAGTGAGACTGATGAATAGAGGATGGTCTGAAGGGGTCAATGATCGATTGGAAGTGTTTGATAGGTTCTTTAGAATGTTCAGTCCAACGGAACTGAGTGACGAGTATTAAAGTTAGTGGAAAGTGATTCTCGAGGGCGATCTAAGGTTCCGTGAAATTTGAGACTTGGTGAATGGTCTGAGGTGATCAATGGTAAATTAGAGACTTTCGATGGGATCGTCGAAAGGTTAGAATGAATTGAACGATATTCTAAAGACAGTCCGAGTGAATGGGGAACAATTCCAAAGTGAAATTAAAGGATAGACGATGGTTCGAAGGGATCGATGATCGATCGTGGACGTTTGATAGGATTGTTAGAAGGCTGAGTGGAAGTATCAGGCGCAAAAAGGAAAGTTTTAAGGCTGCAGTTACCGTTTTATGAATGGAGAGGCATTCCGCGGCCAAGTTAAATGTTAGAGGATAGCTGGCGGGAACGATCGGGGATCGAAGACGCGCCGCGATTAGAATCGAGTGGAAGCATTGAATAACGAAACGATAAACTGCTTTTTTCGTGGCAAGTGTTCTCGCGCGACAGACGTTTGCGCGGTCGATCGTACTCATGGGAGTTCGACCCAGTTATTAATCAGACTTTCTCTTTTATTTTAGCCATGGACTGGCGGAGGGCCGTGTTGGCGTTTCTATTGGTGAGTAGATACAAAAATCGTACGTTCGTGTGCCTGTATGCGTGCGAGATCGAATGATCAACAGTGTCCATTTGGCAACGGTTCGAGCTAATATCTCTGCGATTTTCACATTGCTGAGCCTTGAATTGGGAATAGTCGTTTGGTACACGGGAAACAATTAAAAAGAAAGACGTTAGTTTAGTGAGATCTACGAATATACATGAAACAATTGTAGATCTCTTTTCTGCGAGAACGATTTACAGTAATCAAAATGATGGAAGATAGAGAACATTATTGGAATTGAGAATCAAACACTTTTGACAGGATTGTACGTAATTACCTTCGATAATATCGACGTGAAAGATAAACCGACACCATACAGCAGTACAATCGACTTTTAGCTGATTTTTCTGCGGATGCATTTCTCATTAACTTTAAACGTATGCACCGTAGAGACACTTTCTCCTCGGCGTGGCGCGCAGTGAAACAGATAATTACGTATCTGTTCGGCACGCGTTGCCATATTATCGTGAATGGTTACACGAGCTCCAAGTTCCAGCGATATATTTTATAAAAGTGAGAGTCAGATCGAAAACCCCTCCGTTCCGACGGAACCTTCCCCGTTCAAATCCAAGCGGAACGCTCCATTAAACCTCGTATGAAAATTACCAGTACATTAATCACGTACACAGGAAACTTGAAAACTTTCCGACAAAAAGTAAAAGTTTCCCCGGAACAGTTTAAAAAGTCGTTGGCAACGTTTGATTTTGTCGATTGGAATGATCTCGAATTAATCCGAGGCTCGTGAGTTCGAGAGTCCAATTGAAACGTCTTAATTACTAGGTAGAGGAAAAGAAAGATTCTATAACAGATTGTGCAATGAGTTACGAAATTCTCCGGGGTACGATCCGATCTTTGAAATATTATTCCCGGATCTCAGCGGCCGGTGGACACGCACACGCCTCCGCCCTCCGCGTTTTCGTTCGATTCCGATTTCGATTCGGCCGATCGCGGCGCGACGTTGAGAGCTCGCGGGTGCGTGCACAATACTTTCTCTCCGGTATCGCGTTTTACGGGACACACGAGAGCGTGTTGTGTGTTCGCCAGGAATGCGGCGAATTATGTAATCCTTTGTTGGCACAACGTCCCGCAGAAAATTGTGTCGAGCCGCCGTCGCCGCCGCAACGTTTCTTCTCTATTTTTCCTTTACGCTCTGTAACTTTTCGGCGCGCACACGATTTCGAGCGAGTCGAACGGTATTTCGAATTCCGCTTCCATCGATCTTTGATTCAGATTATGAAATACGAAATGTTTCATCAGTTTTCTATACGAACGATTATCTAGATTGTAAAATATAAAATGTTTCGTCAGTTCTGTATGTAAACGATCATAAATGATGAAATATTCGGTCAGTTTTCACGCGGAATTTCTCAAAGCTGTGCGCCTTGTAGAAAATTTGTTATAATTAAAAACACAAGTTCATTAAATTCTGCAACGAACATTTCGCGCCAGTAATTATGCAAATATCCATTCGTTCGCGATCGGCTGATCGGTCCGTTTTACCGCCGTTGGAAACGAACGATCTTGAAAGCGAGTTTCCAGCTTTCCAGCAATTTCCAAGGCGGAATTTCTTTGTCGGCGATCCGCGTTTCTCGCCAGTGAATGATATCGAACGCTGCGGTTTTTGTCCTGTGTGCAACGACCGTTACGAGACAGCCCCGTTGAGAACGGGAGGCCCCACTCTCTAGGGAAGACGAAGGTTACGCTGGAACATAATAATTCGGGGAAACGTTTCTCGTTTTCTCCCATGGTAATCACGGTAAAGCATCGTGTCGCGATGCAGGCGGACGAGGCAGGGGGGGAGACAAAGGCGGCGCTCCTCTTGACAAAGACCGGCGGATTCGACGTCGTTAACCCATTCGGAAGGTTGCAATCCCGGGACCGCTTGTGCAACGCGTAATAATTGACAATTACGTTTAAACTTGTCGTTTAGTGCTGGGTCCCGGTGCCTCAAGTGCACGCGATTAACTAAACGGGCTGAATCTCTGAGTCTTCTTCTTGTTTTTCTCCTTCTTTCGAGAGAAGTTGATTTTTTACTGTGTAAGGTCTTCGAGTTGTCTCCGATAACATACGAAACAGTGGTAAATGATATTCAGCAAAAGATCACAAGGTGTAGAATAATTTTAACAATGCCGAATGAAAGAAACGGAGAGGCAGCTAGGTTGACAGAGATTCCGAGAAGATTCGACGCGTTTCTGTAGGAGAGTTTGAAATTCGAGGATCCGCAAATGTTTAGGTTTGATCCTAAATAATCACATTCAGCAAAAGATCGTAAGAATATTAACAATGTCGAATGAAAGAAACGAAAAGGCAGCCAAGTTGAAAGAGATTCAAAGGAAAAGATTCTCCGTGTTTCCGCAGGGGGGTTTGAAACATTCGAGGATCCGCAAATATTAAGGATCGATCCTAAACAATCACATTCGGCAAAGATACTCGTAGGAGGCGTCAAATATTTGCGAGACGTCTGCGGAAGCTTCGCGAGACAAGAATCTTTTCTAACTCGGCACACACGGGGATCTCGAAAAAGAGAACAAAACTGTTTTCGGTGACAGAGGAATACCGAAGTGTCGGTAAATATGTGAACAGCGAAGCGAAGTCAAAGAGACGGGGGAAAATTCCACGATCCGATCAATATTAATCCGTCTTTTTCCCGGAGAAGTGGGCAAACCGACGGAGTAGGTTGCGCCGTAAAAATGGCGGGCGTCCTCGAGGCGGCAGAATATTTCGAAGTATCCGCAAATATTTGCGCGAGCGAGCGTTGCACGGGGAGACGTAGGTACAAGCGAATACACACGGAAAATGTAGAATGCTAGGATACGCGAACAGAGGCACGGATTGGAGGAGGAAAGACATATCTGTTCGGAACAGCCACGCCCACTTTTACTCGGCCGTACTTTTAAATATATCGGCACGGGATCTATCCCAGCGAGGCTCGGGGCCCGTTTTCACAGGCGTTTCACTGCACAGAGCCAGTGAGAGACTCGATACCGGAAGCAAGAGGTTCGCGGGCGGTTCACACGTTCGCGGACCACGGAAAACTGGGATCACTTTCCTCGTGGACAATCGACGACCGCTGGATAATTTGAAATTTTCTTCCTTCTTACAATTTTCGCTTGATCGTCGTCTTATCAAGGACGAAGGATAACAGTTTGAAGACGAACTATTTTTCACTCTGTAATTTGACGCGACTGTCATCTTATTGAGGACAAAGTGTGGCAAGTTCATAGGCGATGGATATGTTTGCAAAGAAATCATTTCAAAATGGCTTCTATTTTTGTTCAACGGTCACCTTTTCATTGATTGGATCTTGGAAACGATTCTGCTTCGATTTCGTTTGTAGCGCTAGAAGCTTTCGTGACGTTTCATGAAATACAAGTAGTTTTCAATTTCGATTTAAAGGATGATGAAACATCCAAGTTTCTTTTCCAATCTTGCAGAGTCTCGTCTGTGTTTTTGATATCCTGTTTCGAGAAATCTCGGAGAATGCAGCACGTAGGTAACCTTCCATTAACACGAAAGAGATATTGTAATTTGGGCTGGATGTTTGTCGAGAGGATTCGCCTCGATTCGATGACCGGTTTCATAAATATTCAGACGGCATTTTAATTCAACATTTAAATATCACGGTTCATACTCGTCAACTATGTTTTCCTTGACTTAATTCCGCAACACCACGATCGTTTCTCGGAGTAACGTTTCAATTAAGGAAGAACACGTAACGAACACGTCTGGAGCAGTTTCAATCCTGCGAGGGCACGCTTTCGTTTTCGTTAAATTGAACTTTTTATTATCATTCCTCCAGCTGCGTGACGATTAGTCTGATTTTTATAAAAGGCTTCTTACAAAGAATACCTTATGAATAATTGAAACTTGAATATTATCCGTGTATAAAGGGACTGTTATGAGTTCAAAGCAGTCGTTAAACCCAACAAGAATGCCATTGTGCTTGGCACCGGCGTGAATCCACGGATTAACGTTACACGTAAGTAATCGCGACGCCGACACGAGCATCGGGGGAAAAAAAACGGAAGTGCGGTGACTCAATCGGACATGTGCGATCGGTCAATAGAAAATGGCGTTGTTTGACAGGGGAGAAAGTGCCTGTTGCGTGCCAGCCACGTTTTTCAACGCGTAAACGATTGCGTAAACGATTTTTACCGGTTTCGCGGAATCGCATCAGCCGCTGGCTCTCCTGTCATCGATCGATCGATCGATCGGTTCGTCGGCGGCTTAGAACTAATGAAAGAAGTCGAATTTGGCGCGGAGAATGCCGTGCGTCGCGAAAGCTTCAAAGGAAAACGTCGTGGGTGTGCGGTGGAATTTCACGGAGACTCGATAACCATTCGCTACGCCCACGCACAGATGATTTTCTGGTTCTTTCTGCTTGAGTCACGTCAAGCTTGCTCGTCCAATATCTTCGATCGGGTTGTTTAATCCTCCGAGTATTCGCTGGCAGCCTCCTCGAGATGTTCGGGGATTTATTAATGGAATATTTTGTGAGGAAGGTTCACTTTAATTGGCAAGACTCACCGTTAAGAATTCTCGACGTTCCATAATTCAAAGTTCAATCCATGGAGTGTTTGCTTCGGGAAGTCCGAAGGAGATGCGGTTCTCTTATGAATAATGTTTTTCATCGAACACGTCCTTTAAGATGTAGTATCATTTTTTAAATGACCTTTGCGAATTTAGAACCAGCTTTGATTCAATGCGTACCATAAGATCTTTAGAGACACGATGACTCTGGAGCAAGTTCTCTCCGATTTAATAGGTTTCTTGTGTATCATGACACTTAACCCCTTACAACAACGTGCCAGACTCGTGTCGAAGATTTTCAACGTAATTAACAAACAAATATTACTGGATATTCGAAGCCAAAGTGAATATTATTCTAATCAACTGTTATACTTAAGAGTAATAGACATAGAATATTCTTACAATTTTATTTTCTACTACATTAACAC